TGTACGCGGATCACGTGAGATTTCACCCGTGTCATCCCTATATAGAGAGTCTACCGACTCTCTGATGCACATAACACATTTTTGTCTGAACTATGCAAAAGAGTGGATTTGTACATTAGCAGTGCCAGCTAGCTTAGGTTGAAGACAGTAAAAACGCATCTTTGCAAGAAGATGAAACTAAAATCATAAATGCCTTGAAGAGACTTATAATTATTATTATGAGCAACCTGTGTAAATATAATACACATTTCTCTCTAGTAGTCCATCTTGCATTTTCCCTGGCGAGAAATTTGAACAGCCAGGAACATGATATTATTGTGCGACGTCATCGGGATATTATGTGAGGTGGGGGGCAATGGGTGGTTGAACTTCAGTCAATTTCTTTGCCACTTGAAAATTCTTTGGAAGGGAGCAATCATTCCCAGACCCCTCCTCTTTTAACCAGTAAAGAAGAGAGGTGGTGCCAGGAATCTATTGCCTACATTAACTATGGAAATGTGTTTAGCAAAGACCAGCACCATATCATTGTGTTGACTAGTTATTCGCCCACCAGGTGTCACTCCTGCAGTTGAAAGGGCACAGGGTATACATACATCCCTGCAAGTTTGTGGAATAGCCAAAGGTCAAAAAGAGCCAGGAACCATCCCAGAGATGGTTTTCGTCCTTTATGTTTATAGTGGGAGGACTCATCAGCTGGCCCCACTTTTCTGGCTTTGTACACTACAGTTGCAATGCTAATAGTCAGCACAAATTTAGCGCATGTGCTGATGCAAACAGCCATATATACAAGGTTAGAAAGGCAAACAACACCAGGACATCTCCCTTTATCCAGGGATTATTGTGTGACATAGTCAAGATATCATGTGAGGTGTGAAAGCAAAGAAAGTGAAAAGAAAGTGAAAAGCACTAAAGTGCAAGCCCTCGGCCCACTACCCATGCACGGTATCGCTAATTGATCGGCTGGGCTATGCATGTGGTGGTCTCCCGCTAGTAGCTCGCGGAGAGTTTGACATGGGCTAGCTACAGCAGTAGATAGCATGCGGGAGTCGATACATGCCCTCTGCTGTGACTTCTTGTGCCTCCAAGGTACGCGGAGTAGGCCGATCACTTCGAGGTAAGCCAGCGCGATTATGCATTATGGAGGTGAGTTGATTACCCCAGAGACAATAGAAACAAAATAACAAAACAAACCACTGCTCAAAGGATCATTATCATGAAGAAGACCACTAGTACATTCAGAACGGCTGCGATGCTTTGCAGAGTGTATATTATGAAACATCACAGCAAATGTAAAGTGCAGAAATTATAACAGGCCTTCGATCTATCATGTAGAGCATGCATAGGAACCTATACAAGTCACATACAGGTATGTATCTTACTGCCACCAAAATGAAAAAATCACCACGAAAGAAGGCAATGTGCGATACTGGTTGGGTGAGCACTTATTAGAAGTGTACAGTGCGCATCAGCACGGTGAAGGTGAGTAGATAGAGAAAGAAACGCAATAACAAAAAAAAACCGAGGCTCACTGGATTATTATGATGATAGAACACCACCAGTACATTCGGAATGGTGATGATTTTTTCTCTCCACCAGTACAGTAGAAGCTTCTCTGGAAATGAGGGAACCTGCAGAGTGTATATGAAATATCACATGAACAAACACAGAAAGGTAAAGTGCAGAAATTGGCACAGGCCTTATATTATTATAGTGCTACTGGCTTGGTGAGAACTTATTAGAAGTACAGAGTGCATCAGCAGTTTCTCACTTCAACTCTCCCACCAGCTACACTAACAATCCCAAGGTAATGAAATTTTGGTGGTAGATTAGGAACACAGACTGGGTCAACCCTGCATGCCTTGACAGCACACCAAAACACTTCTCAGAGAGGGTGACAAAGACAATACTCATGGTGGTGGCACCACTCCTGCAGTTGAAAGGGGAAGGGTAGCTATTCCACACAAGTTTGTATGGGGTGGTATTCGTGTCAGTATTCAAACGTCGATTTTGCCGAGGCATTTCCGTTTTGCCGCGGCAAAATTAAACTGCCGCGGCAATTGCCCCGGCAAAACCTGGGCCGAAAAATCCGGGACATTTGCCGCGGCAAGAATAACTAGCTGGGCCATGTTCAATCGTGTCAGTATTCTTGTCGTTGCCGGGCCTTTTGCCGCGGCAAAAGTGCTCTTGCCTCGGCAAATTGCCATTTGCCGCGGCAATAGACCAGTTTCACAGTGGGCGGAGATAATTGAACGTGACGTCACATCCGGAGTCCCGTTCTGGCTCCAGCAATGTATTGAGAAACTGGAACCGTCAGTACTTAGAGCGGCGCAGCACGTAGCTCTTACGGTATGCTCTATTTATAAGTTACTTTTGCGATATTGCAGTAACTGTAGTATATGCGTGAGAAAAAGAACGGACGCTCTAGCTTGTTCCTAAGAGCTACGTGCTGCGCCGCTCTAAGTACGGACGGTTCCAGTTTCTCAATACATTGCTGGAGCCAGAACGGGACTCCGGATGTGACGTCACGTTCAATTATCTCCGCCCACTGTGAAACTGGTCTATTGCCGCGGCAAATGGCAATTTGCCGCGGCAAGAGCACTTTTGCCGCGGCAAAAGGCCCGGCAAAGACAAGAATACTGACACGATTGAACATGGCCCAGCTAGTTATTCTTGCCGCGGCAAATGTCCCGGATTTTTCGGCCCAGGTTTTGCCGGGGCAATTGCCGCGGCAGTTTAATTTTGCCGGGGCAAAACGGAAATGCCTCGGCAAAATCGACGTTTGAATACTGACACGAATACCACCCCATAAGTTTGTGATATACTCTACAGGTAAAAGAAGCTAGGAACAATCCCAGAGATGGTTGTCTTCCTTTACATTTTATAGCTGGAGGACTCATCAGATCAGCCATTCTGGGTTTGAACAGTACAGTTGCAATGCTAAAGGATGTGAGATTAGAAGACATTTAGTGGATGTGCAGTGTGCTAGTGTAGCCATGAACATGTGTCAACAACATCACCAGCATAGGAAGGCAAACAACACCAGGACAACTCCGAAAAAAAGAGCTGCCCTGGGGGAGATTCAAAGCCACGACACTCTGCAGTCTAGGCAAGAGTGCTATGCCCAATAAGCTAATAGGGCAAAGTCAGTATGTGTATTATACATACATAAAGTACATGTAACAGAGACAACAGAAACACCATTGCTATAATTATACTGGCTGGGTGAGCACTTATTACAAGTACAGAGTGCATCAGCAGTTTCCCGCTACACTAACAATTCAAAGGTAATCAGATTTTGGTGGTAGATTAGGAAGACCAGAGATTGCAAGACTGGGTCAACCATGACAGCACACCCAAACACTTCTCAGAGAGGGTGACAAAGACAATACTCATGGTGGTGGCTCACTCCTGCAGTTGAAAGGGGAAGGGTATACTTCCACACAAGTTTGTGATATACTCTACAGGTAAAAGAAGCTAGGAACCATATACCCAGAGATGGTTTTCTTCCTTTATATTTTATATTTAAAAAACAAGCGAAAAGGCCAATCGCACTGGGCTTACCGCGACCTGATCCGCTGAGTAGCTATGTGTACATTGGGGGCTCCACACGAATGGCATGTATCGACTCCCGAATGGTATCTAATACTCTAGCTAGCCCGTGTCAGACTCTCCGAGAGCTACTATATATAGTAGCGGGAGACAAATAGCCCAGCCCAGCATCGCGCATGAGCAGTCCGCCGAGGGTTTGATTCTCATCGGTGAGCACTGGCTGTGGCCATTTGAGCTACAAAACATAATATCCACCCAGGAATGGTGGGGACAGCCACCGCCGGCCAAAGAGACTCAATGCATAGCGATCTGATCAGAGGATGCGGCGGTATTGGAATCATCTGGAACAAGCGACTCAAAGCCACACCACACCAGTTGCAGGAAGTGACTCTGAAAGATGTCACCATAGACTCCACAACCTCTCCCATCCTTGTTGTTGAGGGAACGGGATTCAAAGGTCAGGATTATGAAGTTTGTTAGATGACACATTGGTCGCTTAGGCACTCAGATGGCGCCGTGGGGATCTTGGCTTGTTATTTTGTAGCGCTTCACATTTCGGTTACTCTGACGCATACGTACGAATCCGCTCTGCCAACTGCATAATCCTAAGCCAGGCATACATCTAACCTGAAGGAATGTCGACTGGGAGCCTCGGCTTACTAAGTGTAACTCACTGATGCACACCCGAAGGATTAACAATGTAGCGCTTTACTGTTAAGCCGCGTCCGTATGTAAGAAGTAGTTCGTCCCTCCTGGTTAGCTATGTTGCCTTTACTTATGTTGATCAAACTTTCATGCCAAAGTTTATTTCCCGCATTTCTTTGCTTTATGGGACAACAACCTCACAGCTTTATCTGAAAATTGAACCTCTCGCATTTGCTCGAAAATTCTTTCAATGTTTCAATGTTCAATGACGAAATCAAAATACACATATTTGTATACACATGTCTAATGAAATCTGTCAACTAAACAATCTGCAACATCATTTCTATGGCAGTTGCTAAAACCTATACAGCTATTCTGTAGTTGTCCATTCCCTGATGTGGATCATAAATCACTGTAAGTATATAACAAAATTGTAATCATCACGTGATTGTGTTTATATTAGTTAATACCTTTAGCATGGCGGAGCTGTTACCCTCACACACACTGCCAATGGAAAGAGGTGGATGTCCACATACACCCTGACGTTATTTGCAGGGACTGGAATGCTAATAAAGGTGGAACTACCTCTTGGGCAGAGGGTCCCAGTACGGCGCATGTCAACACACCCTGCGAATAGTAACAATTTGTGAAACATTACAACGTGCACATTAGATCTAACGAACCTTTCTTGCAGGTTTCAACATGGGTATTGACAAGCCTGCCCAGAACAACACTGACAAGCCCACATCCATCACTACCGGCTGGACATACACGGATGCTGAGGTCACCCGCCAAAGTTGGAATATTAATGTTGGGGCAATTGCCCTGCTGAGCTACAGCACCTCCTTCAAACAGTTTAAGATAGTTCTGCTGCATGAGTGCCTGCTCCTGGTCAAAGTTTTGCTGTGCAAGTGATTGCTCCTGTTGGACCTCAAATTGCTGCTGTTCAGCATACGGGTACTGCTGCTGTTCAGATAGCGGGAACTGCTGCTGTTCAGATAATGGGAACTGCTGCTGTTCCACCTGCTGTATTTGGTAATTAGAAGGATGGCATTAATTTTGTCAGCTACTGTAGGTACTGCTGCTGTTCCACCTGCTGTTCAGCATACTGCTGGCTGGTAGCATCCAGGTAGGGTGGATATCCAAATACTGCAGTGCTAGCTGCAGAGAGTAGAATTGCAGCTACAAACATAGTGGCCTTCATCATTTTTGTTGTAAGGAGTGGTAGCTACTTGCTTCAAAGTAGAGTCTGGAGAGACAGTTGTAGCATGTCTGTTACTTGGCCTGCTTTTATAGTCCTCGCAACTCTCGGCAGTTGCGCACAGTCAAATTGATTGTATGCTATTACTGGGAATCTCATGTAACCGAATTTACTCTCTACCTAGGAACTCCTCCCACATTCAGCCAGGAAGTATCAGATGTGAAGCACAATAGTGTTAAATTACATACCAAGTCAAGTTCTATATACGCATAAGTAAGAATTATGACACTGATTGCAGCTGTGTGTCAGATTTTAATCGGAACTCCTCTCACATTCAGCTAAGAAGGAATGTGCACTGTTTATGCTTGTGTAATTGGAGCAGAGTTTCAGCCAAACTTTAAGCTTCGTCTGCAGTAACTAGCTACCCATGTTCCCAGAAGTAAGTCAACTCTGATCAAACAGCACCATTTGTCAGGATTCGAGTCTCTTTTCCCTGAAAGAACAACTGTTATGGTGCTTACCTTCATCTGACTGCTTGTGGGTCTGTGTGTGTGTGTCTGTCTGTTACTCTCAATCTCACTTCTCTGGTGTTTGTTCGTCTCACAAAGGACACGATTTACTTAACGGGCAATGAAGGTCAGAAATTCGAACAGTTTTCTCTGAAAATGCTCCGTTGCAAAGCTAGAGCGCATCCAGCATTGTACGGCTAATGTGGGTTATCAGAAAATGCGCATGCGCTTATATTCAGCACAGGCTTACCTCGACCGGGTCCGCTTGCTCTGTGTATCTTGAAGGCACAAGAAGTCACAACGAATGGCGTGTATCGACTCTCGCATACTATCTATTGCTGTAGCCAGCCCGTGTCAGACTCTCTGCGAGCTACTAGCGGGAGACCGCGAGTAAACGCACACTAATAGCCAAGCCCATCAATTAGGGGTACCGCGCATTTGCAGTTCGCCGAGGGTTTGCACTTTAGTGCTTTTCATTATGCCTCTGTGATTGCATGCGTGCAAAACTGTCATTGTCTTTATGAGCATGTGCAAAAAATATATTGAGCAGAGTCTCCTCTGATTTTCTTTTATGCTGTGTTTTCATAGCTACTAAGCAAACTAGCATGCTTGCATGATCTTCCTAACCCATTTTTCAATTTTCTCCGATGGTTAAATATTACAAAGCTAGACTGAAGATTACTAATATAATATTAACAACCATTAACAACTAGCAAAAGTAACTGTCGAACTTCCATTGGGTTTCTCCTGTGGAAGATATGGACACAGAGCCTTCTGTGAAACGTGTGGATACCACCACGTCTTCTGTGGAGGCCCACTACAGAAACCACTCCTTTTGTGGTAATGCTTCCATTGAAGGTGTGCAGCACATGAGAACCTGTAGAATGCGGCTCTAGTTTGGTCAGACACCTAATGACTTATGTGTCAACCCCAAAACAAGTCATTGTAACGTAGATCATTACGGTAAGTGAAGTGCGGCAGTGCTGGACACAACGCATTCAGACGACTAGGTGGGTCCGCTTTGCTCACCAATAGTGTTGCCAGTGGTCGGCCCCTTGCAGGGGGAACCAGCGTGGGGAATGAACGTTACAACAAATATCCAATTCCTATGAGTGCTAACATCCTGTATTGCGGGTAAAAGGGGCCTATTATTATGCTCATCCCACACTTTAAGGTACATCAGTGATGTAGTTGTACAAGGTTTAGCTAGCCACTATGCATATAAATAACTTGTCAAAAATACTACATAAGCTGCGCACATGATCCTCCTCCTTTGATCATCATCAGTATTATATAGCTCACGCAAGCCCACTTATCTATCGCTATCAACAAGCCCTATCTCACCTCTAGACTGAGAATTTTAGCACTGTAAAAGGGTCAGTTATATTCAAGGTGACTGATGATCTGATGTTATTGACACCTGTGTATAAACATGACCACTTATAACTGACATACCAGGAATGTGACCGATATGTACCAGGTTGGCGTCTCTCTACAAACCATGTGCAATTATAGTGTCACGATTGAAATGTCACAGCTATGGTCAGAGGTGAGATACTACCACACACCGTTGGAGGTAATACTTGAGTAACCAGCATTATTGTTGCATGTGTGTTGTGTCAGTATTGGATTGCTACTGCATGTAGAGAGGGGATGGTAAGACAGAGTGGAGAATGATGCTGACAGAGTTTTTGTATACATCACTCGTGCAGCACCAGTATCAATACAAGTCTGACTATGAGCAACCATGAAAACTGCGAGTTAATAATTATTTGCTGGTTAATGGCCATCACATACGTCCGGTGTCAAGTAGCTAACCTCTAACCCCATGCACTCAAATGATTGTGGGATCATCTGACCCAAATGGGTTACTGAGAAAGTTGCAACTTGGGTTGATGAGGTCGATCAATTATTGCTTACCATGTCTTTACATATGGCATGGTCAGCAAAATGGACTTTCTTGTCGCAGATGTCTGGTATCTTTTAGAAGACACAATCCGAACTTCCGTGGCTCCACATGTCAGAATTCCTTTAGTATACTATTGGAGCCCTCGTTCAACTACAAACTCGATGTGTCGGAGGACTCATGGCACAGTTCCCAATGAAAATAAGCTCTGGAAGAATGAAAAGTACTAAAGTGCTAACCCTCGTCACAGAACCATGTTTAAGAAGCAAAAATTATAGCTATTTTACTCAAAATAATAGCTATTTTGGAATTTGCAACAAAATCAGGGGTAGCTATAGACAGACGAACAAAGTACCAAAACCCTCTGGCCCATGCACGCCGAGGGTTAACAAACGTAAGCATAACAAGATGCATGTCGTAATGTTGCCCAAGCACTGCCAACAATGTTCACTCTACCCTACTGATTTCTCATCAGAAGGCAGTGTAACTTTCCAAAACATTGGAGCCTCCACCTGGCTCACTGTTTGCCAATAGAGGAACACGGTTATGCTCTCTTCGCAAAAGAGGCATTTCATAACGCTCTCTGTCTTGACTATTTTCCATTACTTTGGATCGCGTTCCCCGTTCACAAATTATTTCAGTGCACAACACTTCATTGCCGCGGCCCAATCCACTATGTCAGAATGCTGAATTCGGGTTTGGCTCGTTACTGGCAATGCCTTGTGGGGATGAATCTCATTAGTTCAGAACCACAAGTGCTGCGCTCAACTTTGCCTTTATAAACTCGTGATGCCAGAGAGAGAAGTTGCGGTATGCTTTGCTGATGAGGGCTAACAAGCCCGAAACAGCTGTCCAGAGCTCCCCATCTTTTTTCTCTTGGCATCACATGGTCTATTGTTACATGGAATTAGGCCATGGTGCGATTCACGGGAGGTGCCTAAAGCAAGATACTGCAATGAAGAATGTGTGTGCCGCTATTTAGCACATTTGACACATTGTATCACTATCTTTAGTGAAAGGTCTGGTTCGGATCAGTAGCTAATTGGGACTAAATGCTGGTGGTGACAGGTCATATTTTGGGTTGACACATAAGTGGTTAGGTTTCAGACAAAAACAGAAGCTGCATTTCACAGATTCTATGCACACATCGTCAGCGGAAGCTTTACTGGACCTCCACAGAAGGAGTGGTAGGTGTAGTAGACGTCCACAGAAGCTGTGGTATCCACACGTTTCACAGAAGGCTCTGTGTCCATATCTTACAACTTAAGTGGAAACTATGCAGAGAATTTAAATCAAATTCATACAGCTTGTCACTGGACACTTCTTGGCTGAATGTGTGTGAGGTTCCTAGGTAATGGTTAAAATCTTACACATTCTCAGATTTTATTTCTTTAGTTAGAATTCAGCTGTAATCAAGTAATTTATGTGCTTGACATCTGAATGTGGGAGGTGGAGGGTGTGAAGCAAGAGTAAATTCTAACACATTAGATTCCTACCCCATGCTGAACACTAAAGGTATTATCAAATAGCTAACATAACCATCACCATTTGGACGATTTCAATTTCTTATTACAGTGATCATAGATACGTGAATTGGCTTGTTTCACTCGCTAATCGCTAAGTTTGGCATCAAAGTGCTATCATGGTATTAAACATACGTCTGATAGTGCATGTGAGGTAGCTAATGCACTGTTATATGCGATTGAATCTACAGAGCTGCACAGGCCAGCAAACTGGTTCACACAATCCTCAAACGTGGCCACTCCAATTCAGTTGAACCCTGCAAGAATGTGTTGACAAGGTTCAGGTCAAAGAATACTCTCATCCAATATCAAGTTGCTTCAAGGTACATCCTGAGCTGCTCTGGTTTATAGTAGAATGGTCCCATTAGTGTTGTGGGTTTGAATCCAACCGAGGGTATCTCTTCTTTTTCCCCTTGAAATAAGGAGCTGTCCTGGGTGTAGTTAACTTGTTTGCTTTGCCTTTCTATATACCTCATACCTCGTTGTAAACACATGCATGCCAAACTGGGTATCTACCCAGAACTGTACTAACACGGGGCTTCCCGTGTTTGAGGGCACAGTTTGGACCAGAGGTACAGAATAGAATTGCATAAATTACGTATAATTTAACAGACTATATAGTCACTATTGTGTTTAGCTACCTAAGCCCCCGCTTTCCGGAGGTTAACATATGTTCATGCGATTTTATATAGTTGCATGTTTAAATTCGTTGACTATCAAAAGGATGTGCATCGCAGCACTATCTACTTTGACTTTGACTATATTATACTTGGTCTGTATGTCTGCACAGATTCTGCACTTAGGCTAGGATGCTGTCTATTAGCAATAGCTACTAATGGCTTCAGAGCTACCAAAGAATGGGGAAAAGGCGATTCTCCTGAAACCACTGTGTTCAAAAGGTTTTGCGTGAAAACAAGCAGAAAAGCCAATAGTTGTGCATAGCTAGATAGCTACGCCCGCTCAGCGACCCGTGGAGGGATTATGTTAGTAAAAGGATAGCTATGTATCCAGTCCGGTGGTGCTCTAAATGCTACCCACTGATGCAGCTAGCATGTGTTAGAGAGAAATTGGCCCTGTTGTTAACGGTTAGGCCACTCCAAGTTGTATACTGGTTTCTAGTCCACCCATTTCAAGAGGACGCAGTTTTTAACAGCGCATGCCGTGCTGTGTATACTATTGGTTTGCACTTGTCTCGTTTTGACAGTCTTCCCACTATGAATTTTTGTGGTCATATTACTAAGAGGACTAATGACACAATGAAAGTGCAAACCCTCGGCGCATTACGCTTGCGCGGTACCGCTGGGCGGGCTACGGGTATACGTTTACTCGTGGTCTCCACGCAGTCGCTAGTTGGCCGCGGAGAGTCTGATATGGGCTAGCTACGCTATAAGATAGCATGCCGATGCGGGAGTCGATGAACGGCCTTTGTGGTGACTTCTTGTGTCTCCGCAAGGTACAAAGTGCAAGCGGATCGGTCGAGGTAAGATGATGCGATTATGCTTTTTCGCTTGTTTTCAGGCATATCGCTCGAACGCAGTCGTTTCTGGAATATCACCATTTTAATTTTCAGGTTCGCGTAGTTCTGAAGACGTTGGTAACGCTCATGGGCCGCCTCTGAAGAAGGAGGGGTCAGCTAGGGATGCCCCCTCCCGAGAAATAATGTTTGATTTCGAGGACTTGCGAGGTGACTGACATACCTGTTCGTTGAATGGAAGAACTGAAGCAGATTGGTTCGTTTCGATACACTAGCAGCAGTAAGTAGTAGACTGAGAGCACGAAGCCTGCATTCTCCGCTTCATCTACTGACTTGCTGAGGCTCATGGAGCAACACATGACCTTAGCACTTGTGCGTTATTTAGAATAGGTTCTTCGTGGGGCGCGGTGGGATTCGCGGTTGCAGCGTCGTGCCCTGGTGGTGGTGGTGGTGGGGCCTCTGGCTGCCAGGCCGACGAAGCTGTTCAAGGTTTGGGTCAGCTGCCCCCCATGACCACCCCTCTGGATCCGCCCCTGCCTCGAGACGGACACACCAAAGTACTATAACCCTCGCTGCGCATGCGCGCCGAGGGTTAACCCGCCCGCCGCCGGCGCCCGCATCTTCACTTGATAAGGCCCTGACCAAACCGGAATTCAGCTTGGAGAGGCCTTAGTAACCGAGCCCCCCCCGGAGCATGCGTATTGTGGGTCACTATTATAGTCACTCTATTCCCGGGTTGACCAAGCACCAAAAGAGTGCGACGAATTGAGGGTGAAGAAAGCTGCTTTCTTGCAAAAAAATCAATGTTCTATACTAGTGACAGAGAGAACAACATACTGCCACATGAGAGGTTTTGAGCGAGATGTGTTTATATGCGTAGCAGTGTTATTATGTGAGGCTAGAGTGTTTTAGCTGTGTTTGCAGATCTAAGCTCTATATACATTGTGCTAGCTTTATTATAAGGTATTTTAGACTGCCAATTAACTTAAACAAGTAACTTCAACGTTCTCCCACTATGTGTTTTTGTGGTCATATTACTAAGAGGACTAATGACCTAAACCCCTCTCGTGTAGCAATATTGTTCTCTCTGTCACCAGCATAGAATATTGATTTTGCAAGGAACCTGCTTGTTAACCTTCACCCACAATTCGTTGTACTATTGTGGTGCTTGGTCAACCAGGGAATAGAGTGACTAGTGACGCACAATACACATGCTCCTGGGGCCAGGTTACTAAGGCAACTCCAAGCTGCATTCAGGTTTGGTCAGGTCAAGATGCTGGCCATGGATTTACTCATTTACCCTTAGCACACATGCTTCAGTGCTTTTCATTATGTCATTAGTCCACTTAGTAATATGACCACAAAAATTCATAATGGAAAGAATTGTTACGTTGAAATTACTTGTTTAAGTTAACTATTGGCAGTCTAAAATACCTTATAATAAAGCTAGCACAATGCTTAGATCTGCAAACACAGCTAAAACTCTATGTTAGACTGCATGACCATTAACTAGTAACTTTAACGTATATAATAAAAGTGATTATTGTTAATTCAATCTACAATCGACATTGAGTATTATAATAACAATGATAGGAGTAAGAAAGACTGAATTTGGAGGGTGTCATAAATACAATCACATAAAAAGAGAGACGAGCTATGCGAAAGTGTGATTTGGGAAGCCGTTTTTAACTTCAAACTTTTCAAGTCCCTTCCGAATAATGTTCTTTTTTACTCTAAGTGCACTGAGTCGTGCCCAGGGGTTGGATCGCCAGCATTCTTGCATCAGTGATGAGAGAAGTGTGAGTAACTGAAGGGAAGAAAGAGTGATGTGTATTGCTAATTGTTAATTGTTTTTATAAGTGTGGCATACAATAACATTTGCTTGCTTTTTGTGACCACCCTAAGGCAGCTTGTTTCTGTAATGCCCTATCTCCTTGCAGTTGTAGTTAGACGACTAGTCACAGACGGAGCCATGCGATTTATGAAGCCTCGGAGCCTGCTGTAATTTTCCTCATTGCACTAGGAACGCCAGCTCCGCGGCCTCCTAAATCTGCATAGTTCCTTATGACTTATCGTCTTACTCATAGTACCACATGGAAAGCAGTTGTGGTTGGAAAAATAACACTTAACAAGACACAGACACGTAATTATATCACAGAGCCTCTATATGTGGTGTTTCGTGCAGCCTGTAGCTATCTACTGTGATTGCCTCATAAGTGGTGTATAATATTTTAATCCAGTGCTGACCCTTATTGATCTGGACTAGGATAGGTGTGTACTTGTACATAATGTCAACACATTTCCAGACTGTGTGAAGAAGAGGTCGGCACATTTAGGCTACATTATGTTTGATCACGTTGAAACAAGTTCTGTCTTGTGAGTCACGACCCATATATACACATACTGAATCTGGCCTAGCCTTCAATCCTACACCCTACTTTAGTGTCGTTGCTGCTCTTAGAGGGAAAAGGGATGATGTATTAATGATGCCTCTCTCTCGTGGTGTATGTCTATGAAAGGACCATGTTTACAGACATGGAAATGAAGGCAAAACAAATTGCATTCATAGGCCTATGCATGTTTCATGGTAGTTCCTTAAGAGCTAATGAAGGATAAAAGGATGAATACCACTCAAAGCAAGGGCTTGTAGTTTTGATGAGGAATTGAATGGCCTATTATTAAGACCTCACTGATATATAGAAGGATGCAGGTGGTACACTAGATGTGAACGTCAGGTTATGATCATCATTTCAATTTGTGCACAAACAAGGTTTACCTCATCTTCGCTCCACCAAGACGCTATGGTGGGCCGAATACTGTCGGTACATACAACCTTTCTCATGTCGTCCATCGAGGGATCGTGACTCACATGCTGGAAGTACGGCAACTGATACTCCTCTGCTCTATTACCTGCACACCAAATGACACAGGGAGATATATCACATTAGCGGAAGAAAGGGTTTAATCAGATGGGGGGCACAGGTTAAGTATTAGTTAAAGCACCGTGCGAGTGTACTACCGTACGTGGTTTGCGGTGCAGAGACGCCTTGTTCGTTATCGATTCTCAAGACCGCAAACCTAGTTCAATACCCTGAGTATCGTGAACGGTGCTTTAACTGGTTTGTAGCAAGATTTTCAGGGAACGATCGAGCTCCCGTGTGTTTACGGGCCAGTGAATACTCGACTACCACCTGTGGAATAGCTCCCAGTAAGTTTGGTAGATCGTGGGACAGTTTACCAGCCTGCGCGCGACCGATCATGAATTCTACCATTCAACAAATTTCGTAGTTATTGTACTGTCGGTTCCTTTGATACGCCCACGATTTGTGCTACAAAGTGGGATCATCAGCATGCCATAAACTATAAAAAGGGGGGCAAATTATAGAGTCTGAGCATGTCGTATTATAGACTATGAAACAAGTAGTTTTAAAGCTAGCACATGACCCTGATGACCCCCTGTTTTGCCACCAATGTACACATAAAGTGACATTCCACTCTTCTTTATAATGTGCACCGAGCAATAACTTACTAGTTCTGCGTGCAACCTCCCAGATGATGAGACCGAAACAGTACATGTCCACCATCTTGTAGGAGTCAAATTTCGTGTAGTTGATGCTGCCGTCTAGGATCTCTGGAGCCATGTATCGCTTTGTTCCCTGTCTCGGGTTGATGCTTGATATATCGACATGACCTGTGGAATAAGGTGGTATATAGTAAACATCCATTAGGATCATTTCATACTCACCCATATCCAAGGGTACTATTAGGATGCTATTAGGATTCATTATAACATGACACTAGTAATAGTAGTAGCACTACGCCCTTGGGATTACGCCATATTACTTTGTGCATAATACGTGAAAGGCCCATGGTGAGGCGTGCCACTGGTAGCTTGTATCCTGGAAGAAGCTCGACCTACTACCTATCAGCAAGAGCGAACACCCCAGGAGCTAGTAATGCCACGTTTCCGAGGTCTCGAGTACAGCCACGGCCGGGAACGGTGCATGGCTTGAACGAGCAAGACAGTAACTTTTTGCTAGATGTTGTCTCAGTAGCCAGCCCTTAGAGAGAGGGGCTGACTAAGCTAGATGCACCCTGCATTGTTCCGGATAGCTACTAGGCACGGCGCGAGTTGTCTGGAGTAACATATTCGGTGTAAGGCAAGGTATATACAAGAGTCTGGCGCTCGTGTCCAGAGATCGTCGCGGCCGTTGATAACACAGTTGCTAGCGCTAAAGACGGAGGGTCCCGACGCTCCTGAGCCGTATCTGTTGAAGCGGCATACTGGTCCAACCCTTTTGGATGCATGAACGAATGAATATGGTACGCCACGTCCATGGTTTTGCTCCATACATCTGGAACCTCATTATCTCTCCATAATACCCGCTACTTTTCGCACCTCCTTAGGGCTACTCCACCAATACACCACAGCAATTTTCTATTGTTCTGAAGCCTAGCCAGGGTACGATATAGACAAGTCCTATACTTGTGTAGTCTGCAACCCGAGAGTAATTACAAAGGCAATTTCTTTGCGTGAGATAAATTTACACACAATTTCGTGGGTATCATGACCATGCAATAACATTGTATGCATCATGCAGAAAGTATTTTAATTGCGTGCTACATGACGCATGGACAAATCATACCCATACATTTGAAGTTGAATGCAACTTTGTTTGAAGTTGCATAGTGTATAATGGCTTTACCAGTAGCTCCGACATGTCGCACAGCCAGACCAAAGTCAGAGATGCAGCAGGAGTGGTCGCTCTTCACAAGAATGTTCTTGCTCTTCAGGTCTCTGTGTGCTATCCCTGGCTTTATCTGAGCACCTGAGGTAAAATCATTACACCTTTATTAATGTACGTGTGTATATACATGTAATGCTGGCTCCACCCATTGCTCATGGTGCATGGTCTATGGCCTTGGTGCTGTGGCTGCCTTGTGAGTTTGTACATAATCGTCTGCACAGTTGACTATATAATCCAGTTTTTTAATGTGTGGATGAAGGCACTGTCGCACATTTTAGCACAACTTTAAATAAACAAAACAGAATTGCTATGCACGTGTTACTATCGCGCTGACAAACCCAAAATGGTTTGCATTTGCTTACTGCGAGACCTAAGGGCTATGAAGAAGTTACACACACTTAAACCAAATAATTGATCCTAAGGTAAACCAACCTGTCTGTATGTCCACATGTAAATAGTGGAGACCACTGGCAATGGAGTAAACAAATCTCTGAGCCTGAAACAATGAATAGAGTGGGCTGTGAGATAAGGCTCAGGAATGTGGGTTGAGTCTCACCTGGTATGCTGTGAGACTGTGGATGAGGAGGAAGTCAAGTAGGGAGCCGTTGTGGTGATATTCCATGACCATCCATAGCTCAAACCCTAGATCTGCAGAAGATATGAGAAGTTCAGCGGATGACAAGGAGTTGGACAAATGCACCATACACAGAATTTCTGATTATTCATGATGTCATTATACCTCTGAGTATGTGTGTGTATGCATGTGAATGTGCGTGTATGTGCATGTTTACTGTTTGTGCAGAGCTCGTGTAAACGGTCATTCATCGGACATTTTCCTCGCAGTATTGCATAGTGTCCGTGCAGTCACTTATTTGTGCGGTCGTTTTGACCTGGTGAGCATAGCTATGTTAGCGCAAGATGTATATAGGCAAAGCACTGGAAAAGGAAGTTTATATAACAACCACTCAACATAGTGTCCTCCTCGACCCCCTTAATAAACACCTTGTTCAGCAGCGCGCGCAACAGGCCTATCACTCACGCCATCTTCTTCATACCGATGCTAACAGTCACTAAAGAGTGCTGCCTATGCTCACATTAATCATGATCATGCTACCTGTGAAACTTAGGATGTCCAGCAAACAATTTTTCACCTTGGTGTAACATTTTGTCCAAAGAAACTGAAAAACTAATTGCATGTGCTGTGCGTGTGTGTGTGTGTGTGTGTGTGTGTGTGTGTGTGTGTAGCTTAAGCTTGTTTAGTTCTGCTGCCTTTGCAATTTTGTATGCCTGCTAGTGCTCAAACACAGATCAATTGCCATAAGTAACATTATATATATTTAGTCTAGTTATAGTGCTCTCACTGAGTGGCCTCTTGTCACAGGCAATGAATTTGGCAATGTTGTCATGGTGCAGCATGTATGTACCATACACTTCTCCCTCTCGAGCCCAGCTGTCTTCATCCTGAAATAATGACAGACCATACAATCATTTTAATGGCACAAATTACCCTTGTACATTAGAGGCCAATTTAGCAACATTTTAGATGGTAATCCTATAGTAATGTAGTCCAGAGGGGCTTGGCTCTGAATAATGAGTAGTTTTGAAGTACTTTCTCACATTTTGTATGAAATTAGCAGTTCACAGGAAAATCTAATCTCAGGTGGTGGAAAATGTGCTACACCCATATTATGGTACCTATAACCTGATTTAACACCTACACAAACACAAAGTTTACTACTGTGCTACAGTGACGCTACAGGTCCAGGTTAGGAGCCAACCTTTTGTTCTCCGTGATATTATTAACTCCAACATTGTTTCAGACTTTTCAACAAATTATGATCAACACCCATTATTGGCTCATCATGAGGCATTAGTTAAAAATGTTAAAAAAAAAAAACGAACCACCCCCCCCCTCCCTCCCCTACCCCCACCATCCCCCCCCCCCCCCCCCTTCCCCAACAAACCCCCCCGCCGCCTCCCCCCCACCACGCCCCCCCCCCCCCTCCGACCACCGCCACCCCCCCCTCCCCCCCCCCTCCCCCCCCCCCAACAATCCCCCCCCCCCCTCCCCCCACCCCCCCCCCCACCCCGCCAAGACCCCCTCCCCCCCCCCCCCCCACACCCCCCCCCCCCCCCCCACCCCCCCCCAGCCACCCCCCAGCGCCCCGCACCCACGCCCCCCCCCCCGAGCCCTCCCCCCCTCACTCACCCCCCCCCCCCATCCCCCCCCCCCCGACCCCCTCCTCCCTCCCCCCACGAACCCCTCCGGCCCCCCCCCCCACCACCCCCCACCTCTACTCACCCCCCCCACACCCCTCCTCTCACCCCCCCCCCCCTCCACCCGTCCCCCGCGCCCTCCCACCCCTCACCCCCCCTCCCCCTCCCGCTCACACCTTCCCCCCCCCTACTGCGCCCCCCCCGCCCCTTCCCCCCCTGCTCTCCGCCCCCCGACCTCCACCCCCCATCCGGCCCCCCTCGCCTCCCCTACGCAAACACCGACCAAACCCCCCCGCCCCCTCCCCCGCCACCGCGCGAGACCCCCCCCCCCACCCCCCCGTTCAGCCCCCCGCCCCCACTCCTTACCCTCCATACCCTTTTTTGTTCGGCGCCCCCACCGCCTCCCCACACCTCCTCGCGACGCCCCCGTGGCAGCCCCCCCCCCACCGCCCGCCCCTGTGCCACACCACACCCAAGCACACGCTCCCCCCGCCCGCCCCCATTCCCCTTTCCCACCCCACCCTCCCCCGACCCCCCTCCCCCACCCCAACTCCACCCTCCCACGCCCCCCCCCCCCCCCCCCCCCCCGCCCCCCCCCCCCCATTTCACCCCCCCCCCCCTCCCCCACCCCCCCCCCCCGCGACCCCCCCCCCCACCTTTTCGCCCCCCCCCCAACCCCCCCACCCCCCCCCGCGCCTCCCCCCGCGCCCCTCCACACGTCCGACCCCCCTTCGACCCCCCCCTCGACCCCCCCCCCACCCCCCCCCTCCGCCTTTACCCCACACGCGCCCCGCCCGTCCCCCTCCCCACCGCGCGCACCCCCTGCCCCACCACCCCCACCCACCCCCTCCACCCACCCCCCCCATCCGCCCCCCTACTTTCCCCCCCCCCACCCCCCTCTCACCCCCCCCCCTCCCCCCCCACATCCCCGCCCGCTCCCGCCCCACACACACTCCTCCACCAGCCCCCCCTCCCCCCTCCCCCCCCCGGATTTTACCCCGGGTTCGCCTGCTCCACCCCTCTCCCCTCCCCAGGACAGCGCACCCCCAGGCGCCCCCCATCAATGCCTCCCCCGACTAGCCTCCCCATCATCCCCCCCTCGCTCCCAACCCCCCCCCCCCCCCCCACCCACGCAGGTGTTTGCACTCCGCTACTTCGAGGTCAGCCCCCACGAGCGAACCCAGCCGAATCCTGCCCCCCGCCCCTCCATCCCCCCCTTAGTACGACCGCCTCCGCCACCCCCCGCCGCCTCGTCCACCTCGCACACCGGGGGGCGGCCCGCTGCATGCTTTTTAAGTTCTTAGGCGTCTCCTTTTCTCGAGCCCGCGTAGGATCGATGGGCGGCGCGATTCTTTCCACGTTGTCTTTGCAGGCTAGGATTAGCATACTTCATTCCAACAATAAAAAAAAAAAAAATGGACATTATCAGCTCTGCGCGCGCCTCCCCTCGCATCAACGAAGCAAACAATGACCTCGGTGCAGGCATGCAGATCAGGTGTAAACCAATCAGTGCTGGCATCCATATTATGCAATGACTTTACAACTATAACATTGATAACATAATCTTTATCAATTTTATTGATTTCATCAGCCAATGATTACTTTAGGACCACTCCCGTATGCTACAAATCTATGTTAACTCATTTACAATTAATAGGCTATTAGAATCTCAGACAAGCCGATATAGTGAATGGCTTTGAACATGCGCAGCATAATCTGTATTTTTGCTGCATGCAGACTTGCATGAGGTATACATGTTCCTTATAATGTTCAAAAGAATGAGAGTAATTCCATTCAACAGGAGATGCAGTATTGTGATTCTCATGTTTATTGCAAGCGGGATTACTCTAGCATCTATAACTAACAAGTCCAATGTTTATGTGTGATTATGCAACTAAATAACAGTTCAAAGTGCAGTAATTAATGGCCAGTGAATGTATATACCTGTGAAGTGAAGATCTTGATAGCCACACTCTCTCCACCCCACTCACCCAGCCACACTTCTCCGTAGCGTCCTTTCCCTGAACGTGTATATACACACATGCACACATGTGGCAACCATTCACATCACTCGGCAAAGGGAATTAAATGATATGTATGTAGCTCCTTGCGGCTCCTTGTTAGTACATGAGACTGCGTTGGCACTAATTACACACTCAGACCCTAGTCACAACACCAACAGTCTGTTTCAATTACAGGAAGTATACTACTGGTGCCATCATAATTTTCTGTCAAGAAAGTATTATTAGACATCAGCTGCTCTATGCTATATGTGTAGTCTGTGTCTGCACCACATACCAACAATTTCTATCTTCTTGATTTGCCGTGCGATGGTTCGTTGCTCAAGTAACCTTTGACCCGATCCACTGCCGCTGGTCATATTTGTGGTCTCCAGGAGATCATCTTCAAATGTCGGGAGGCTGCCCAAACTGGCAGTCTAGACAGTATAAACCACACCACATTATAACAAATGCTATGATGATGTGTATGTATAGCAATGCAATTGCATTTCTCAGGCCATGTCAACACAGTACACCGTTAATAGAGAGACTTTGAAGTGGCTTTGTTGTAGGTGTGTCATCGATTCATAGATTGTGAGCAAGTGATCTTTTCCAAATGTTAACATTGTTTCATTGCATAGGTAGCCTTCCTTTTGAATTCCCATCTCTCTCACACACAGTCACTCCACAAACCTTGTGCCTCTCGTTTCTCTTGCACCAGACGTAGATGATGACCACCACGGCCACGACCAGACACACACACACTAAGCCCAACATGCCAGCCATGGCATACACCTGTGGCTTTGACAGACTCAATGAGTCTCCAGGAGGAGCTGCAAGAGTGTTGGAAAACTGTTTAGTAGGTGTGTTTTCACAACACATACCTTTGAGGTAGGATGGAATGTGATCTATACCAACTTCCTTACTATATTGCAGTATAGACCATGCATAGGAAGTTCCATTTCCCCTCAAAAGCTAATGCACCATGACCTACATAGTTGTTCTTGGCCTTACACATATAATATATTGGATGTAAAAATTGTCCTTCCCTAATTGTAGAATTTTTTTTTCTTCTTAAGGACACCATACATTATTTAAGTGAAAGTGCAAGTGCTTTTCTAGATGGATAATTTTTTGCCATATTCTCAGCTTTACATTGTGTTAAGGTTTGAGTGAAAAATGTTTAAATATGAACTCATGGACAACTTGAACTTATCCACTTTTCACTCTCTTTAGGCAATCCCTGCCAAAGGGGGAGCTTACATTCTACAAAGTAAGTTCAGTTACTTTAAGTAGCTACACCTTAAGCTTAAGGGGTATTATAGAGTGTTCATGCTAGTCAACACAGCACTGATACCTATGCTACAATTGGTGGGTTGTACTACATGAGTTTTGAGACATACATACGTACATCTACACAAACTGCCTGTGACTCACAGGGAGTTGCAGTGGAAGGTAAGTCTAGCAGTGTGTGGGTGAGAGAGAGACTCAAGGACGGCTGGGGCAGTGTAAAGTTACAGTCTAGATCCAGCCACGATCCCATCATCCTGTACGCTGCGTCTGGTAACTCCTTAGGTATAATACACCTGTTATGATGCATGGGGAGTAGTATGAGTTAAAGGAAATGTATCAGTACAGAAGGACTAAGCAATAAAGCCCAGTGCAAGAATGCAATAAGGCTTAGAAGTTTGTACTGCCTTATTCCCCCCGTTAATGATTAAGTCAAGAAGCTCACTTGTTGCAGTAGTCTCTGTCATTGCAGCAGGCATAATAGGCTGCAGGAAGGAGAATCGAAAGTTAATTCCTTCAAAGAAAATGATTAGACAACTCACTGTAAAACGTGCCGTCATCGGAAGGAGATGGATGCGTGCGGCACTCATTGTGAACAAAGTCATCAATACAACTGTGGACTACAGATTTGATGGTACCGTTGAGATACACGCCTACTGCCACATCGCAGTGGACTTGGTGGAACATAAAATCAACTCTGCAAGAATCGTTTGTGCAAGCATCATGTGAATAGTCGCAGACACAGTTGAGGGCCAGAGCTGCAGGAAACACAATCAAATGCACCCAACATAATAACAAGAATGTACAAAGAGTGCTCTGGTAAAGATTTACTACAAACACACACACCCCATCTATCATCAAGGAGGAGGGGGGCTCTTTGGAGCCAAGCATATACACCGCCACTTTGTCAAATTGGCAAATGGGCTATATACTCTCAAAAGATTATCGGAGGATTGGCAATGCACAACCCTGCCTATCATATCCAAGGAAATACTGAGCAAATAGCTGTCTAATCTCGAGTGCTGCAAAAGGAATGAGTAGCTATGGGGATAGATATAACCTGGCATAATTCCCGTGCCACAGCAAAGGCTATCCAGACACTTCCTGTGTACAGGTCATGGTCCACAAATGATTTTATTTCTGCCAAAAGTAGACAGCCACGTGCCAATCATTGTGCACATATGTGTGCACCTTTGTACTTTCCATGAAAACATTGTCGTGGAAACTGAGATGTGTCAACTTAAGGCTCCCACTCACACTCCCTACTCCTACCACTGCACCCCATGCCTTTCCCCCCACTCACCACATGTAGGACTGGCAACTTCCCCTCCCCCCCCACATGTAGCAGTTCACTGCATGACATTTGATCAGCTGTGAAGCCATGCAGTGGCTACTCCACTTCTACTTGTGCTATGCAAGATGTCGCAGTAGAACAAAGATGCATAATGTGGTATTATGGCTAAGCCATTTTACCATAGGTATACACAGTTCAAATCTGTCGGTGTCACTAGTTTTGTGTAACAGTTGTGAGGCTGGCTGCTTGTCAAGCTCAAAGTGTGCACCGAAGAGCATACCTAATACTCTAAAAAGCACATTAGGTGTCCACTTACACGACGTGATATGTTGCATTATCGGAAACAACCCTACACTGCAGTTGCTGCCACCTGTCCTACACCTGCAACTAGACACCAAGGATCCTCCCCTTCTTACACATTGACAGTCACCTCACACACATTCACGTACTCTCACAAACACTCATTAATGTATACACAGTGGAAAACGATCGTGCATTAGGTGAAGTCTTGAAATTCCATCCGACATTGGACCAGATTCTTGACGACATTAAGCTGTTGTATTTCGTGACTTGTATTTTCCGCTCCACTGAACCGCTTCACTACACAACAACTCTGCAAAACATCACACTAGTGTGATGTGGCAGATGGGAAGGGGGAGAGGTTGAATACGATCTCCTTGTCCGGTTACACTACACAAGCATACACCACCCCACACACTGGACGCGGTTCACAGGCAACAAACTGATGCAAAAGAAAGAGATATATTTTATATTGCACTGTTGGTGTGTATATAGAAAGCAATAGAGTTATTATGGGAAGCACATGGGGTGGGGGAGTGACCTATGATATACATCTTGTGGGGTGTTAGTGCAGTGATACATAAGGAAGTTACATTAGCCGCTAAGCATAGTACACATGTTGTTTATTCAAATGACAGCAGAGCAAGGTCACATGGAATTTAACCCCAGCTCCCCAAAGAAAACACAGTGATTTGAAAGGCTGACAAAAAGTCGATGTATATAACTCATACAGTATGACTGTATGATCGGTAAACATACCATGACATGTTAGTAACTTTCAATATCGTGGTAGTGACATTCTTCTTTATTACAAACAACCCTGTTTTGTTTGCTCCTGCAGTTAACTAAGCAGAAGCCTAAGTATTGTATTGAGAGTGCTTCTACCACTGCTGTGTCACTGTAATACAAATTAGCTGACACTCCCTACAATACCATCTATATGCATACCGATGGTTGGGAAGGGGGCAGTATGTATGTACATCATGTGCTCAGTTCAAACATATTCATGTGAAGGCTGAGCCACATACATTGGTGTATGTCCTTATGTGTTGAAATCAGACACAACACCACTTGCACCACTTTTGCAAGGGAAAACATGCTCCCCATGGCGTGGGCATGCATATCCTGTGCTGGCAAATTACGTCACCCATACTGCATTAAAACCCTTTGGACACCATGGGATCTCCTTAATAAAATTAATAAGCAGAAATTGACGTACAATATTTTAATGCATAGTGCTATAGCCATATATAATGTCATGCACTTATGGACGCTCTGGGCATAAATATATGCCCGTGGCTGGCTAAGGGTTAATCAAACACAAGTCTGACTGGACCTGTGTAAAAGTGGATAGTGCTAGGCAAAGTAACCTGTAGATAGTTTTGGTTGCATAATAATATTGTGTGTTCAAAAGCACACACAACTTTAGACTTTCGGTATAGAGTTATGCATGACACAACTCGTATTTTGGCGACATAATTATGAGCTCTAATAATGCTTCATTCATGCCTACTTACAGTGCCACCTTACACCCAGACAGCTTGGTGCGATTGAACAAGATGGATGTCGAAACATAATGCACCAATGGACACAACCTAGAGTATCTTTTATACTGGGCCGGGCCTACCCTCTTGAAAGTTAATTGGTCCGTTCTTGAATCTCTCAGTGGTGCAGTGTCGAAATTCAATAACATAGAAAATGAAAGGACGGTAGGAACAGATTTCATTGACAGCCGTTCATATTAGTTCATGTTGCATAGCTATATGTGAGGGTGTATTTGCCAGTGCAGCCTAAACATACCGAACAGCATTATTCATGAATTGAGCCTCCAGTGGAATATTATGTATGTCAATGCTGTGATATGATATGGAAGTTTAGTACACCTGTGCATGCAATCACATTGCTATCTATAATCCCTTCCACCACATATAATACGAGTGCAGGAACAATCAATGATTGCATCTACTACATTTGAATAAGGAAACACTCTTTTTAGCTCTGAGAAAAGGAAGAAAATTACGCATTACCGACAGGTGCGGAATTCACTCTGGCTAGTAGTCTTACATCCTCACGTGCCAGGGACCGCTACTCCGCTATATAGCCCGGCGTGTGCTGCGAACCGCCAGCCACGCCCGTGTTTATTCGACAACACCTGGTAAACACAGTGCAGTAAGAACACACGCAGCCGGCTACCTGTTCAATATATGTGTACTATCGCGCTAGCTAACTAGGGTAAAATATTCACTAGTAGGTAGGATCCGCTAGCTACAGCAAACACCACACAAGTTTTCTCTTACCCGTAGTGCCTGCAGAGCCACAGAAAACAGCACAGCCGTGAGGAGACACGCCATTATTCTGAATTCCCTTGACCAGGCAGTAGGGTAGTGGGAAATGACTGCGATACTTTGGCGACGGAGCGACTGCAAACAGAGCACCTTCCAAAAAGATCCAGCGCGCTCTGCTCACCAGGCATGCGTGGGGTCCACCGTCAATAGGCAATAAAGAGGCGTGCACTAGTGCATTCCGGAAGTGTTCCCACGGCGCGGCGCGGCATATTAATTATAGCGGTGCTGCGCTCCAGCGCAGTGAAGTTATGCCCGGCGCCAAGTGAGTGATCGCAAAGCCAGAGCTCTCGCGACTCTTGTGCACAGTGGATGGGGATGCTAGTTTCTGCTGGGCAATTCGCAAAAATTTCCATCTAAAATAGCTCAAAAAGAACACATGTAACGCTAACACAGTCGTGGATATGCAACACACTTGTGGGGATGGCATTGGAAGGTAGATGTGGATACATATTTATAGGCGTAGCTAGGGCTAAAAGGGAGTATACACAAGTAGTGATTAGCATCGGCTTATATCACATTGTAGTAACTAGCGAGGAGGACCAGTTAGTATCTTGGTACGACCTACTGTGAGTATGTAGTCTAACAAACATCACTTCCCCCAATGACAATGCCAAGGAATCAAATTGCTCTGTGCCAATGATGACATACCTACATACCAGGTTCTTCGCGACTGTGCAACTCTCAAAACACCACTGCTACAGCATTATCAATGGGTGTCTAACCTTTGTTCTTGACTACAGCGTTTAGTGCAGGTCCTTTGCACAATGCTGCTGATCTCTATGCAAGGCTACGAGATCATCACACTTCACCTATGTCTGTTTTCGTGTTCATGTCTCTCGTCTTGTGTCACTCACTTGCAGTTTAATTTTGTGCAACAAAAATAGCACCACACAAAGACTGTGTTCAGGTGTCAAGACACTCCTCGACCATAAGGAGTGGATATAATATTTCAGCTCATTGTATATAGATCATCTGGATGTAGCTAGCTATAATATATAGTTACAAATACTGCCGCATTAGCTCAATTCCACCAGTTTTGTGACTCTCTTGCTTTATGTCAGGGTTAGACAGAAATGGTCAAAACACCCAAGTGAAGGAAATGACACCAATATGCACTTAGTTTAGTTGTACGAGGCGGGATACAAACCACACCCACGTGTGCAATCTTGTCATTGTTGTCAACTATTTCTAAATTCAGGTTATTGTTGACGTGGTGATTGCTCAAAAAGTAACCTATGATGCAGAATCGGGCGTAAGCATCAGACTCAGTGGGAAGAATACTTGGGCAAATCAGGTGGGGGATCAACAAGTCGAAGATAAGTCACGGAAAATATTGGTTTAGCTATATTATGAAGACCAAAACCTGGTCCATAAACTACTCCTACTATGCTACTTAAGCTAGTCAATTCATTTTTTAGCAGGAGCAATTAGCTGTCGAAGAGGCGGCAAGTGCTGAAATAGTTGTCGCAGTAGATCTGATAGTGGCCACCCCTCAGACACTCTGTCAGCTCCAGCACAACCCGCTCCCCAAGACCAAATTCTGTGGTCGTGTCGCCATCTACAGCTCTCCCGGCATAGACTTCGAAGTCGCAGAAGTAGTCGTTCACTGCGTCTGCCCTCACCCAAACCTTGAATCCCCTCTTCGTGGGTTTCATAGGCATGTATTGTAACATGTAGGACCGACCTGTGTGCATGTGTATATGTGTATTTGTGAACAGTTGAAATTGTGATAATTCTTATTGTATTTTTTACCCTTGTAGCCGATCATCGCCTCGTCTACGCTGTTCTGGGGGTGAGGGTTGTAGTTCTCCCTGCACTTCGTCTTCATGTTGGTGATGACAGGGAGAACCTTCTGAAGACGGTGGTACCCCGGCTGATTCCGTGAAGGTAGGCTGGTGTTGTCTACGAAGTGTAGGTACTGTGAAATCTGTTCAAAGCGGTCGCGGGTTATCCTTGATGCAATGAAGGTGTTGTGCATCTTCTCGTCAGTGGACCAGTAGTCGCGTATCTCAGGGAGACGGTTGATCCCCATCACGATCATGAAGCCGAGGTAGGCTTTCAGCTCTTCGACCGTGGTCGTCCATGTGGCGCGACTGTTAGCTGCAGCGAGGCATTGTGCAGCATATCGGTTTGTGTCTCGGACGATGTCCGAGAGCAGGCCATGGTCGAAAAAGTGGGAAAACATCTCCAGTGGATCCCTCGAGGTGGGGGCACGAGGTCCAACTGGAGTTGTACATGGCTGTACTGTGACCGGTGATGGAATCATGGTCCAGTCTGGGTGCGAATGTTACTGGGATAGTATATACGTACTGTACTGGTAATTACTCATACCGTTCTCCTGGTCTGCAGGGTTCAAAACAGTAGCCCTGCCTTCAGCTGCTCTTCCCCTCCCTCTCCCCCTGCCCCTCCCTCTCCCTCTCCCTTTCCCTCCCCCTCTCCCTCTCCCCCTCCCTCTTCCTCTAGATCTCCCTCTCCGTCCCCCTTCCTCTCTCGTGCTTGTCTCAGATTGAGCTGCAAGTCCATCCTCCTCGTTGGTCCACTCCATATTACTCTCACTACTCTCTGAGCTGCTGGCAGCAGGGATTGGCTCTGGATCTAAAGATTTTTACTAGCTATAACCTTTTTGGTCTTATTGTTTTCGCTCATGCAAAAAAGCATACCATGTCCATATGCTCGGAGTCTGACTCGTGGCCATCAAAGTCCGAGTCCATCCCCAGATCATCGTCGCTACCATCAAACATGGACTCGGAGAGGCTGCCAGGGTCCTCTCCATCGAACAACTGTATTACTGCATCAGCTGAGATGCGCTGTGCCATTGCGTAGTGTAGCTAGCAGAAACTCGGAGGAGCTGGAACGGACTGGGTGTAGCTACTAAGCCTGCGCGTTGCACCTGGTACGCATTGCGGTACAGCGCAAGCCCGCGCGATTGGTCATGATGACGTTTGTACCCAAAAGGTCATAGTTTTAGTCTATTTGTGGGCAAAGTAATATCCAAAAAGCCTCTCAGCACAAGTAAGACGCTGTAGGAAGATGCCGACTCCTGCAGCCCGCGAAAGGTCGAGGTAAGCGTTCACACGGAGTACCTACCACCGCGCGGAGCGAATGCATTACGCGTTATCACGCATTGACGCATATTTGCGTCCTCGGCCCCAAAGAGTTTTAACAGGGTTTATACTCCAAAGACAAGGCATCACATGCATTTTATTTTAGCCTCACATTCTGGTTTAATAGTGTCTTTGTGGACCACAACCACATTCATTGACACTTCATATATACTTTGCTACTAAAAAGTGTAATGAGTCAAATTCATTTTAGTACCAGCAGGGAGCAATTCCCTCCTCAATGTTTCCATGAACAATGAAGAGGTTGCTTTTCATCACTATGTGAAAGACAAAGATATAGAAAATACAAATTATAGCCAGATACTTTTATACACAAAGTCATTGTCCATGCACGTGTAATGATGAAATGTCAGTTGTAGCGATCTGAGAAAAGTAAATGGAAAACAGGTTACCAATCTTACTTTTCAGGTTTCTAACAGTTTTCCAGATTTGATTGTATTTGTAACCTCATCATCTTCTGTTCGGTGAGCCTAGAATTAATCACATATAATACCCTTACAAAGCACAGTTTAGAATGCTGATAGCTACTCATACTAAGTTTGTTGCTCTTGATAGCAAGTACTTGCGCCTGAACCAAACTGTCAAAACAGTCAGCGGCACTGCCACCAGACACACAATGGTCGCACAGCCAACTGCCAGAGCAGCACGAAGGTAGGGGTGAACTGGAGCATTTTCTAGTTCAAAATAATTATGTACACTTCTATTTATACTGATCATGTAACAAATATGTTTTCACACAGATGGTGTGGTTTGCACTTACAGGAATGTGCCTGAGGTGGTAACCTAACCTAGTGTCAGGTTGATTGTGTACACTCGTGGATTTTTCCCATGATTATTTAGCCTATATACTTTTTCAATTTACGGAGCCAAATTTTATTAGAAGACACAAGCCACTAACAGAATGTTGTCTATTATACGTCACTGCAGTTCCGACTTAAGTGAGGTCATAATCAGCTATGACATGGACTTTCAACGATGCGTTCTCCTTATGTATACAAATTACAGCAAAAACTTTAGCTTCAGTGCTCTCAGGCGTGCCAAAGTGTGAGAATTGGTAAACACTGAAAATCGTAACGGAGAGATTTAGCTACCTTCAGATGATGATGGATCTGTAGACTTGAGTGATGGTGACATTGTTTGTGTTGGTTGTTTGTTGAGTAAGCTGTGATTACAGTCACGACTGACATCAAGCTGTAGTTTGGCTTCATCTGGGAGTGCAGTTGGGACCAAACATCTATTTGTGTTAGTAAAAATAGGAGAGTTTTCAGTGGCAAAAGTACCAGTGATAATACCTGTTACATTCATCAGCATTGCCACAGCATGCGTAGTAGGCTGCAGATATACTTTTCATGTCTTTTGTGAGCTGACATGTTCCAATTTGCTTACTTGAAAAGCCAGACAGATCGATATCTGGCGGTCCTCCACACGGAGGAATGAGACCAGCCAAGCAATAGTACTTTACCTCTGTAACAGTCCCGTTTGGTGCCAGACGAACACTCATCTCACACGCAAACTGTGTTGAGGATTGGGGGGCTATGCACACGCCATGGTTGCAACCACCGTGCTCTTTAGTTGAGCAGGTGCAGAAACGAGCAAGGACTGTGTGATGGGTTTAATAAACCACCATAAAAATGATATAGGTACAGTTCAAAGTTTGGAATGTGGCATTTTTTAGTTCAGTCAATCATGTGAACAGTCCAATGATGTGATATAGCTACGTAATTATTAATACATCATCTACAATCTATACTGAAGACGTATATAGCTACAAAAGGTAAGTGTAACAGTACACTCATAAAATTATAGTCATGGAAGAGGGGTGGGCATGGGAAGGGATATGCTTACCCATAGATATTAGCCCGGCATAGACAAGCGCAACAGAAGCAAGCATCATCTAGACGGATGTTTTAAGCTAGTAACTTCCCGAGAATTTCTTATTTTTGCCCAACACATGCTACACACTCACCCCATCTTAGCTACCCACGTAGCTATATAGCTGCGGTGGCGAACGAAAACATCCCGCAACATTATGAGCCGGTGTGCAGTGAGGCGTAATGATGGCAACCACTAACCTGGAAGATATCGGATCTGCAGAAAGAGGAGTAAAGTAATCCATCGCCTGGCGGAGAGATTCATAGCTACTAGATGTGCTCGCAACTTGCGGAGGTTGCGCGGCCGAAATATAGCAGGTGGGAGCCGCTGCCGTATAGGCGCCCAAGGTAACATTATCCCGTTGCTGAATAGGACTAGCTACACATCCTCCTACCAGTATTAGTACAGGCACAACTTTGTACAGTGAGGCGCACTGCTGTAGGTCAGCGAACCTGCGAATTACTATTATGTTACCGGGAGTGCACGATTGAATTAGAGTTCAGAGTACACCTGTGTTTTATTCGGTCAACACAAAAGCTATAGAGGTGAGCAAATGCAGCAGCTAGTAAAACACTATATTTCAGTTAGTACATTTTTCAGGGAAGACGTAATAGCTGGTTGACTTACTATCAACTTGGCTTGGTGCTAATAAGAGAGTGTGGACTGGATGAGGAGAATGAACCATAAGTGGGCATGTTGTGTTCATGTGATCTTCCAATGGGCATTATAATTATCACTCTGCAGTGTGGTGAGTGTAAACCAAGTGGTGGTAAAGAGGGTAGCTATATAGTGGCTGTCAGTGACTCATGTCTGAGACTGACTAAAAATATATACCTATGGCTGGTATGCTATGAACTATAATTTCATGCATGCATTATAGAGAAGAATGTCAATGCAAAGTTCATCATGCTATTATCACACAGTATGGCTATTGGGAACCTCAAGAAGAACCATAAAATGTACGGTATTGCTTGTTGTTCATGTGTTGGACACTCAAGACATTTTACAACTGTGCTATATATAATGTGTGAGTGGGTCTCTCCATCTCATTGAACCATGCCTTTGGGTCGACCTGGGTGTCTTGTATCAAACAATTGTTGGTAGTATAGGAAGGAATTCAGTTCATTCTTTTTTGCTCATGATTATATCCTAGAGAGCCTTTCTCAGGTGCATGTGGGTATAGTTGATTTGTTTGTTGTGCCTTTGCCTTTCTACCTCGTAGTTTTCACATGCAATATTATTATGCAAATTTTTGGATTTTGGCGTCATTGGTGTGGTTTTATTACCCCTGTCTGCTCCTATATACTGATCCCAGTCAGATTATGTATACTGTGCAATAGCACAGTGGTTTAAGGTTTGCCTTTTTTGTTGAATTGATTTGAACCCCTATATACCAGCAGAGTTGCCCTGTAGCCAGCTAAGCTCAGTTGATAGAGCACTCGCCTAGACTGCAGAATGTCATGGGTTCGAATCCCACCCAGGCCAGCTGTCCTGGGTGTAGTTTATTTGTTTGTTGTGCGTTTGCCCCTCTACCTGGTTGTTTTCACATTCCAAGTAAGGCCCAGTGACATCTCCAACTTGGAGTCTAAATCTCATACACATACACAAACTCCAATACCTACATTGAGAGACCCATGGTGACATTATGATGTAGGAAAGGTTTCCCTCACATTACACCACCTTTTTGTATCAGCCATAGTTGAGTTCATACAGAATATATATGCTGTAAGTGTATCACCAACATGAGTGCACCAGATAGGATGTTAGCTAACACCTGTGAATAAACCTACAAGGTAGGCTGTGTTTATACTTGCAAGTACACTTTTTTGTTGCCAATAGTGTATGTACGATGCAGTATCCAGGTATTCTGCCACCAAATTATATTTTCATTCACAGACGAACAGCTTACGAAAAGCACTGAAGTGCAAACCCTCGGCGCACTGTGCTGTGAGAAGGAGAAGAATAACTACAATGCACAGCTTTACGCACAAAAACTCCAGCTTGGCCTCGATGGTGGTGGTTTGCTCGAAAACCTAAATGGATCTTTTCCCGTTTATAACTCGGGCATGCTTCATCGAGGCCAAGCTGGAGTTTTTGGGGCCCGTTGACTACCGATAGGGTAAGCAGTGCTGTTGTTTGAACGAGGTCCTATAAACCTAAGTTTGCTAACCGGTTTTGCGCGCGAGTAGTCACGGTATAGAATGTGCGTAAAGCTGTGCATTGTAGTTATTCTTCTTTCTCCTTTTCACAGATGGTTGACATGACGTAAGCTCTGGGCATATTTGCCTGTCGTGCTCCATTAGGACTCCTTTCAACCTCTGAACTCGGTCAGGGATGTTGAGGTATGAGGGAGTTATGTGGTTAATGGTGGCGTGCACACTCTCTGCTCCTTGTTCCCCCATGAAGCCAAACCCTACCTCCACTGTCGCAGCCAAGGGATCACATGCTCCTCTAACATGTGGAGTTTTGGTGTCACTGTAGACTCAGTGAAGTTTGCCCGGTAAAAGGCCATGAAGTTCTTGATGCTTACACCTGCAAGTATGTTAGAAAGTAATGTGAATGTTATATATACATACTCAGGGAATCAATTTCTTCATCTGTCATCTTATAATTCCCATTGCAGCCATGGTGACATGCTGAGTACAGAGTGAAGGCTTGGGTGAATACTCTGCTGATGACCTCTGCTTCACTGATGAGGGAGGGACAATGAGCCTCTGCAGTAGCTGTCACCGAGTGACACAAAGTGTCGATATTTTGTGGCTACAGGAAGTAAAAGATTTATTGTGAGCTCCATGTGTTCTATATGTGTCCAATTTGTGTACCTTTAGACTTCGATGCACATGATTGCCTATAAATATACCAGAGTAGAATGCCTGGCGCTCAACATGAAATGAGGCTAGAGCAGCATCTAGTGCCCTCACAAACTGGCCATCCTCCTTCTCATATCCTCTGTCCTTTACTAGCTGTTTGGCAGCTAATCTCCTCTCCTAGTATGTATGTAAAAGGTACTGCATGGTCTTTTCATTTCGGTAAGCCTTACAAGGTCGGCGATTTGAGTTC